TGGTGCTGATTGGGAAGACTGGCAGTGGGAAGAGTGCAACTGCAAACACCATTTTGGGCGGAAAATATTTTGATTCAACTGCCAGCTCAAAGTCAGTGACCAAGTTTTGCACGAAAGCAACAGGAAAGATTGATGGACGTCCTGTCGCTGTGGTGGACACCCCCGGTCTGTTTGACACAACACTGTCCAATGATGAAGTTCATGAAGAGCTTGTGAAATGCATCAGCTTGTCGTCTCCTGGACCTCATGTGTTCTTACTGGTGCTGCCGATCGGCCGATTTACCCAGGAGGAAAAAGACACCGTGGAACTGATCAAAACATTTTTTGGCAAGAGATCTGGAGATTTCATCATTCCTATATTCACCAGAGGAGATGATCTGAATGATCATCAAACAATAGAGAGTTACATACAATCTGATGACCTCTTGAAACAACTGATAAAGGACTGTGGAGGGAGATACCATGTCTTCAATAACAAAGATCAGACCGACCGCAGGCAAGTCAGAGAGCTGATGGAGAAGACCAACAAAATGCTGAAGGAAAATGGCGGCAGCTGCTTCACCTCAGAGATGTTTCAAGAGACCGAGGCGGCCATAAAGAAGGAAGTGGAGAAGATCCTGAAGGAGAAGGAAGAAAAAATACAGAGACAGAGGAAGGAGCTGCAACGAAAACACATAGAGAAAATGGAAGTAATGAAGAAAAGAAAGAAACAAGAGAGAGACGAAAGTAAGAGGAGGAAAGCCAGACAGCTTGAAGAAATGGAGGAAATTATCAACAAGGAACGAGAGAAGAGAAGGAGAGATGAGATAGAGAATACAAGGCAGGAAGAAATTCAACGAATGGAATGGGAGCAAATACATGGCGGAGAAAGAGAGCACAACAAAGAAGAGATAAAGAAGCAAAAATCTAAATGGAAGAAGGAGAGAAAAGCAGCGCGGATCAGAAAACAAGAAGAAAATGAAAAGAGACTACAAGATGAGCAAACAAAACTTAAAAGGTTGCAAGAAGAGTACGAGCAGGAAAAAGAACAACTAGGAAAACTAAGAAGAGAAAAAGAGATGAAGAAAAAACAAATGGAGGAAAACTTTCAAAAAGAACTGAAAGAAATGTATCTGAAATATGAAGAGGAGGCCAGAAAAGAAGCTGAAGAAAACAATGATATATGCAAGCGCTTGCGGGAAATAGAACAAGTGACGAAAAACCTTGAACAAGAACTGCAAAACCAAAGCAAGTGCACCATCCTCTGATCTTCATACTGACTCATCATCATCATAACGTCAGCTGATAGAGCATCATGTCCTCTTCATTGAACAGCAGATTTCTGGATGATAATTCTCAACAGGGTCCAACCCAAGCCACTCAGAAAGAACTAGCACTCATTGAGACATTTCCACTTTGTGAGTATCTTTTTTTTGGTTTGTTTATATACATTATGGTTTTACTGATTGCAAACGTAACCTTACCAGCTGTAGTAGAATGTTTTACTTTTTATTATCAATAGTTGAACCAACCCTCAAGGTGCAGATTAAACGTTGTCTGTTTTATGGATTTAAGGTTAAAGTAAAATAACTTCAGTAATGTACAGATCAGTTGGTGAAGGTGCGTCTTTATAACATGGCGTGCTTTTCAGTGAGTAAATAAATGTATGAAATCAATCCTGCTACTGTAAATGTTCAATCAATATATAGCCCAATATCACACATTTTACATTAGTTTAATAAAGAATTAAATGCAATAGTAAGGTTATCATGTTGTCAAGAAGAATATTACATTCACCCAGGATAATTACCAGGAAAATTCTGATAGGAACTCTGAATAAGGACCTGGGGCTCGATACACTGCAACAAGTTAGAATGGCTGCAGTGTTTTCCAGGTTGAAAGACTGAGAACAAGGCTTTCAAAGGAGTTTAGATGTTCATGTAGGATTGATAAGTAGAATCAAAGATGGCTGCAGCTCCACCTCCTTGGCCTGTTCCTCGAGGAATATGTGTATTAATGTGACTGGGTGGAGTGACCTCTCATCCGTTATTTTTTAAATATATTTACTGTTGTGTCTTACAGTATCTGTATTTTTACCTCTAAATGTGTGTATATGTATATTTGTTTCCATATATACACGTATAAGTGGGTGTAAAGGAGTGTATGTATATATTTATTTTTATATATTTGTATTCCCGAATAGAGGAATTGACAATAAAGTTGACTTTGACACCGTTGACATATTGTTTGAGTATCAGCCAAGTTTCAGTGAGTGATCATAAATACATGTTATCTTTGTTGCAGCCATTTTATCTGTATGTTTTATTTGTTAATCTGTTGTAATATTCTCCTGAACACTGGGTGGTGTAGGGGAGCAGGGAAGCATAAAGGGGAGCTCACCAGGACAGGGGGGTTGATTGAAAGTTTGATTTGTTTTTATATTATCAGAATAGACAGTATTGCCATTTACTCAGTGGTTTTGAGTCGAACATGTCGTCTCAGTAAGTGTGTTCATGTTCATGTTCTTGTGTTAATCACTCACTGCCACATTTGCCAAAAACAATGTTGTGTCATCCTTTGTTTTATTTACATATATCTCTCTATATTTAGAGCATGTGCTGCCACAAGATGTCGCCCTGTCTGTGAGCAGCTTGTTCTCAAAGTGTTGGGGTTTCTGTTGAATGATCTGCAATAAAGACACTTTTCTTGAAATACTGTGCAACAATCACCTTTATGTGAAACCATCATTGAAATGAATGTCCCAACATTTCTTTTTATGTGTCAATAAGTTCTGAAGTTCATAATTTTTAGCCATGGATGTGTACTTACAGTACACATTTATATTCTGGTATAGGTAATGTGTGCTTTTCTTCTATATATTAATATGTTAGCTTATTCTGTGTTATTGCATTCCTATTTTTTTTGCACCTGCTATGCCACTTTTGCTGTAACAATGTACATTTCCCCGCGGTGGGACTAAAAACGGTACGGTATTTATCGCGATATTGAAAAATAAAGAAAGAAAAATTGAATTTGTTTTTTTGAAATTTGAAATAAAATAAATCTGATTTGTAGAGCATTTTAGTAGGATAGTAGTATTTTAAAGTGCCAAAAACAAAGTGACAGTAACAGACTGGAACAAGAGCAACCTGTGTTTTTTTACCTACTAGTACTACCAAACAAAGTAGGCATTTTCTTTGTGCCACTGCATCTCAGAAATAAACAAGGACATGTAATAATCAGACCCTGCAATAAAATAAATCAAGTTTCACTTTAGTTTTTCAAGTAACTCAACTCTAACTCACTCACTCAGCATCATCAGACAGATTTTTTTTAGGAATATGAGCATGTCCACATTTCCAGGTAGAAGCTGGGATGTTTGGGCGTTTACAATATCCCCTGCTGTGGAAAAAACTCTCTTGCTTGGTACTGATGTTGCTGGGACAGCAGTGGTCGCGTTAACCAAATATTTTTTTTAACAATGACGGAAAAATGTGAAAGCAGTCTGTCATTTTGACAGATTAGAACAAACTCGGAACAGCGCCAAAGTTTCCCCGCAGCGAGGCTCTGGTGTTTGCCGTGTTATGCATGCCCTCCAAAAGGAAATTATATAGTTTCCAAACCGTACTTTGCCGTACAAATCATTGAAATGTCTGGGAGTTTTTGCTTAGCAACATTTTACCAATCACAAACATGGACAAGTGTACTGACAGCGAAGCGTCATACTTCATTAATGAAAAGTAAACTAATATTAGACAAATATAAACTTTAAACATCCATGACTTAAACATATAATCCAGGATACAAGCCACATAGTTGCACCTGCAAGGTGAATATAGAACTGGTTAAAAAATAAATAAACTACTGAGTGTTTGAAAGCGTACAACAGTTTTATGATATCACTGCCCCATCTAAGACACGAGTGGATCTGACTTTAATTACATTTGAGTTGAGTGTTTCGTCAACCTAATGTGTTGCTTAAAATAATACTTCTGCATACAGTATGTGACAATGTAGGCTAAGTGTTGCACGGTCAGATACGGCTCAAAAAGCTGACTCAGATAAGGAAATATATTATGATATATTATGATATTATATGATCGATGATCTGATTGATGATGTGATATGAATGATAAGTGCGACACGTCGGTGTCTTCTCTTCATACGACAGTTTAAACTGTATTTCCTTTATCCTGTAATATGACTTGATATATTTAAACTCCGCACACTGAGCTCTGATCAGGCGGTGCTTTCACTGAGTCGATCTCTTTTCTATAGACGCCGGAGGCAGGCAGCGTCAGGTAAAACAAGTTATTTAGCCTTCCCAAACCTGAGCCTCACGCGCCGCCTATGATTGTCTCTCCACCACTTCAAAAACAATACCGTTTTTGCCAAGAAGGTGAGGCTTATTGACAGGGCGAGATATAAATATACTGTTGGTACTTCTCAATGTCTCTAGGTATGTAAATGTAGCCCTGTAAATACGATGTCGTTTTGTGTTATCTGTTTTATGTTCATGTTGTAACCTACTTGCTGCCATGTTGGACAGGTCTCCCTTGAAAAAGAGATCGATGATCTCAATGGGACCACCTGGTTAAATAAAGGTTTAAAAAATAAATAAAAATATTTGGGAGTTTTGATAAAAAAGTCTGAATTTAGACTTTTTACTTTTGATCAGAAAATGATTTTGTCAAAATCTTGACTTTTTTTTATCAGAAATTTGAAAATATTAGAATCTTTTCATAATTCTGGTAGAAAGTCAAATAAAATACAAATAAATCATAATTCTGGAAAAAGTCAAAATGTTCGATCATAAATCTATCGATTAGATTTCTGATTCGAAAATTATAAAAGTAGGGTAGACATGTGGAGATTATCCGACTGAACAAAACGTGATCCGTCTCTTGTGTGTCAACCACAGACCTTATTTCGAGAAATTGCATTGCTTTTTTGTCGAAGGAACCCATGCGCAGCTTACCTCCGGGTTTTAGGACGCGTCACTGTGGCACTCGCGCTTCCGCAATGCAAATCGGGCATGTCACAACATGGAGTCACACTCCCTTCGTAGCATGGACTTTATTTACAATTGACGGGTGAGTACATTACTAGAGCGATGTGAGAGTGCACAATGACATAAGTTTAATAATAGATGACTTCATTGATCAATGTTGGAACATGTCGTCTGCATTTAACCCAGCCTTATCTAGCTTACTGTTGTGATTGTTGATCAGCTGTCGTATTGTTGAGAGACTGTTTGGCATCATGTGCGCATTACTCGATTATGGCTGCGTTGGCTGGAACAGAGACGTGTAAAGTGTGTGTAGGTGCTTTTCAATAGTTTACTGAATGCCCTGTCTAAAACCCCATGGTACGCCACTCGTAACACATTCACTTTGTACCACTATAGCTATGAATACGAAACTAAAACATAGATTGGTAGCTGATTTTTTTTTTTTAAAGCAAACTCATCGTCAAAGCTAATGATTATAACAAACTTATTTTCACTTATATACAGTTAGAAACATAGAGTAGTTTAGACAAAGTCATTGTTTCACAATATTCGAAAAATAAAATTGTCTCTAAAACAAAGATTGTTAAGAGCATGTTTTGTTTTATTAACACCAACAATTATTTTTAAACTCTCCCTAGGTTCTTTAACCAAGCATTTGGTTTCCAGCTGAAGTAGATTTGTTCCTGCAGTGACATTATGACGACAGCATCAACAGGTGAGTTCAGATTGTATTATTGTGGACAGAGTTGGGTGTAACAAAGTAACGCGTTACTGTAATAACATTACATTTGTCGGTAACGGAGTAATGTAACACGTTACTGTTATAAATTCAGTAATCACACTATAGTTACACACTAGATTCTCCCTTTGAGAGATTAGACTAGTAGTTACTACATTATTCAGAAGTTTACAGTAACTTTGGATAATAACACGGCGGGTTTAATACACGGAGCCTCTCTTTTCCTCTCCCTCTCTCTCTCCCCTGACAGCCCGCCTGTGTCTCATGCAGCTCGCTGATCCAGTAATGAGTCACCCGACACGACAGAACGTAATAAACATGTATAACTAGTTTAGCTAGTTCCAGGGGTACTGTAGATAAGATTAGTAAATGTGATGGTCTAACTTTTAACATTTTAAATATTTCAAGTCACTAGAGGGATTTCCGCCGCAGGTTTATATTTTCGTAACATTTGCGCGACTTGTCCACATGCAGCTGTCACAGGGGTTGAGCTGCAGACTGAGACAGAGACATGGCTGAGACATCAACAGCTATCACTTTCGAGGGGTTGAGGAGGTATGCCCGTTATTTTAAATGTGTCAGAAGAAAGGACAGGAATGTGACGGTAAGGTGCACTGCTGCAAACATAACAACATCAAACCTCTCCACAGGCCCGGCTCCAGGATGAAATGAGTGAGGGGGCTGTAAAAAAATCCGAGGGGGCGATTTCTTTTTTCACAACAACGAAAAATACTGGCAATGTAATTAATTGACACACCAAGCTTTTTTCCTTCTCACTGCTCTACAATCTCTTTGCTTCTTTATTTGTATTCCGGATTTACCCCTCTCGTTCTGTTCTTTTCCTCTGATCTTTAATAATAGATATTACATTATTAGATGGGTGCACTTTGGTTAACAGACTAACAGTTATTATTTAATAATTGTGAAATTGATTGTACTTTTTGATGGATGAATGATGCGGGTGAGGGGGCAAAGAATACAATTGAGGGGGCAATGCCCCCTTTTGCCCCCTCGTGGCGCCAGGCCCGCCTCTCCAAGCACATTTCTGTGAATCTGCTGTTTATTGTGATATATTACACAACATAAGTCATTTAAAAAGAACAACCAATGCTTCCTCAAGTATTCATGAAATATGTTGTGAATGTTCTGATTTATTTTAGTGTCAGAAGATTTGCAACCTGTGAAGCGGAGCAGCAGCTATGGATTAAACATTAATCATGTTTTATGCCGTTCGCCAATAGCCTACTTGATAAGTCGCTCGTAAAACACAGGAGGTATGGAAACTAAGAACACCATATGTGGTAAATTGTACAGCTAATACAACACAACACATTAGTTGTATTTCCTTTAACTGGTGGATTATGGATATATAGTTGCTGATCGACAGCTGGAACACAAACCACTAAATACAAAAAAATAATTCAGATCCAGTCGTCATGACTACACGCCGGAGGGATTCCCCGATCATTTCTTACAGTTTCTCATCAAGGGGGGGTCTCCTGTCCCCGGGACAAACACACTGCCTGAGGAAGGCTATGTGTATTTATTTTGTCATTAACTTTTTTCGGACCACTTATTTCTTTATTTTGGTGACGATCCGACCTCCATGCTGCTAATCTGGTTCAAACTGCATCCACCAAACAATATGATTTATCTCGACCTCCCCAAAATAACCAAAATCTGACACGGTGTGAGATGTCTTTTTTAGCTGTTCTGTCCTCATTTCCTGCGATCTTCTTCATGCAGACAGTCAAAATGAATGAATGAATGGGCGTTTCTTTGACTATTTATAGGCAAATATGGGCGTTATGTGAAGCCCGCAAAAGCTGCGCCGCATTTCGAGTTGATTGTGATTTATAAAAGGGAAACCGGCGTAGGATGTGCCGTACGCAAGTCCTGTGCCGGTACGCAGTCTTTTATGAATCGGAAAGTGTTGGTGCGTATTTGCTTTGTCCTACGTAAGCAACCTTCCCACGCCAATCCTACGCAAGGCTTTATAAATGAGGCCCCTGAGCTACCCTAAACTTCTATCATGAACTCCCTGTGACTGCCATACATCCATGGTGACTGCCCGATTTGCATCTCTGCCTGATTTGCATTGCGCAAGCGCGAGATGGTCCGCCATATTGGACAGCTACATACGGCAACCCAAATAGGACACTTGACATCTAGACGGCTGCCCAATTTGCATTGCGCATGGGCGAGTCTTAAACTTAAACGGGTGCCCGATTTGCATTGCTCAAATATCTATACATCTGACAAAATTAAGACTTTTGTGTTTTACAACAATTTGAGAGAATACATCTCTAAAGGTGAATTTCACCCCACCCTCTCTACAAATGAGCGAGGAGGTGCCAGAAGGTGCTATATATATATATAATTCCAAAGCTGGTAAAGACATTTCAAATTCAGCAATAATTGTCATATAAGAAAAATACTGATCTAATAACAGAGATTTGTTCTTGAATCAACTTTTTTATGGAAAATATTTTCCATTTTATTTAATTTGAAATAAAATGAAAGACATTCACAGTTAATGTAATTAGATAAAAATTATTAATGCCATACATTTTTGCATACATTCACAGTAAATATGACTTCAGTATGATAGCTGTCTAACATAAGTTAAATCCATTTCTCACTTATTCTAAGAATGTACTTAACCTACTAAAAGGAGTTGTTAAATAGTGAAGTTACGTTGTAATCAGAGATGGGGTCGTTACTAAAAAAAAGTAATATATTACATATTACATATTACTTTAAAAAAAAGTAATATATTACACTACTTCGTTACTCTCTACATAAAGTAACTCGTTACTTTACTCGTTACTTTACTCGTTACTTTACTCGTTACTTTACTCGTTACTTTACTCTCAGGGCCGGCCCGCCCCTCCCTACAGGCAGATCACGCAGACTGCTAAAGTTTCAAATGTTCTCTTTAGTTCAGTTTCCATTGTCGCATAAGACTGATCCAGATAGCTCTGACTATGGCTGTCCTCTGTCTCCTGCTATCTGTATTTTGCGCAGTATATCTCTGAACGATGCGATGGTGATTCCACTGTGCAAATGGGCAACATTACCTCTACTATGAAGGATGCTACAAGCCTGTCCATCTCTGCTTTGGTTACCGGTCCTCCAAATTCTAATTTGTGCCGCTTCAGAGTCGGCGGCGGCGCACTCACAACATCCTCACTCTGGGTTCGGGGGTCCTTAGCTATTAGCTTCACCTTAGCATGTGTTCTTTGCAGGTGTTTGTTGAGGTTTGACGTGGTGTTTGCAGCAGTGGATAACAGCTTCTGGCCTGGACACAGTTTGCACCTCACCGTCACATTCCTGTCTATTCTTCGGACGAACTCAAAATAATGGGCATACCTCCACCCCTCGAAAGTTATCGTTGACTCTGCCATGTTTATGCAGCACTGCACGTGGAGATGTGGACGCGCAAGTCGCGCAGATTACGTGCATATAAACCTGTGGCGGAAACCCCTCTTGTCTGTCAGTGTGATTATGACTGATTTTATAAAAGTAACGAAGTAACGCGTGTCGGGGCAATGTTAGTAACTGTAGTGTGATTACTGAATTATAAAAGTAACGCGTTACACTACTCCGTTACCGACAAAAGTAATATTATTACAGTTATTACACCCAACTCTGGTTGTAATATCAATAACTCATCCCTCTCGTTCAGATTAATGTTTTTTTCTGCTTTGCGAAACGCCACTGTGTCAAATGTCCTATTTGGGTTGCCGTATGTAGCTGTAGTGCCACAGTGACGCGTCCTAAAACCCGGAAGTAAGTTTCTTCCGGTTCCCTCGCCAAAAAAGCAATTTCTCCATAGGATTTTGGAAAAAAGGATCACGTTTTGTTCAGTCGGATAATCTCCACATGTCTACCCTACTTTTATCATTTTGTAATCATAAATCTATCGATCATAAATCTATGATTAGATTTATGATTCGAAAATTATAAATAGTGCGTCAATGTGGCACTCTATATGGCGGGCCATCTCTATGGAGCTAATTTCCTGCCATAACTCCACAAACAAACTAAACAGGTTTTACAAATGCCTCATGATTCACTAACAAACACAATGTGGTTTGCAAATACAAAACACCATCTACAAACTAATGCATTTAGTTTTGCAAAGAAAAAACGTATCTATCAAACAAACACATAACATGTTTCTAATAAATCATGTTTCAGAGACAAATTCAGCATAGGTTTTACAAGTACACAACTTTTATAACTACAACACTTTTTTTTACAAGTACAAAACCTTTTTCTTCTCACGGCGGAATATTACTGCCAAAAATCACGTGACTTTTGGCAGTAATATTCCGCCGTGAGAAGAAAAAGGTTGTATTTGCAAACCACATTGTGTTTGTTAGTGAATCATGAGGCATTTGTAAAACCTGTTTAGTTTGTTTGTGGAGTTATGGCAGGAGAATTAGCTCCATACATCTCGCACTTCCGCAAGTTCACACCATGGAGTCACACTCCCTTCGTTGCATGAACTTTATTTACAAGTGACGGGTGAGTACATTACTATTCTCATCATTTTAGAGCGACGTGAGAGTGTACAATGACATAAGTTTAATAATAGATGACTTCATTGATCAATGTTGGAACATGTCGTCTGCATTTAACCCAGCCTTATCTAGCTTACTGTTGTGATTGTTGATCAGCTGTCGTATTGTTGAGAGACTGTTTGGCATCATGTGCGCATTACTCGATTATGGCTGCGTTGGCTGGAACAGAGACGTGTAAAGTGTGTGTAGCCTACTGTATGTGCTTTTCAATTGTTTACTGAACGCCCTGTCTAAAACTGTCTAAAACCCCACGGTACGCCACTCGTAACACATTCACTTTGTACCACTATAGCTATGAATACGAAACTAAAACATAGATTGGTAGCTGATTTTTGTTTTTTAAAGCAAACTCATCGTCAAAGCTAATGATTATAACAAACTTCTTTTCACTTATAGTTTATAGAAACATAGAGTAGTTTAGACAAAGTCATTGTTTCACAATATTCGAAAAATAAAATTGCCTCTAAAACAAAGATTGTTAAGAGCATGTTTTGTTTTATTAACACCAACAATTATTTTCAATCTCTCCCTAGGTTCTTTAACCGAGCATTTGGTTTCCAGCCAAGTAGATTTCCAGAAGTAGATTTGTTCCTGCAGTGACATTATGGCGACAGCATCAACAGGTGAGTTCAGAATGTATTATTGTGGACAGAGTTGGGTGTAAAGCGTTACTGTAATAATATTATATTTGTCGTAACGGAGTAATGAAACGCGTTACTGTTATAAATTCAGTAATCACACTATAGTTACTAACATTGCGCGAAAAAAATACTATATTCTCCCTTTGACAGACTAGACTAGTAGTTAGTACATTATTCAGAAGTTTACAGTAACTTTGGATAATAACACGGCGGGTTTAATACACGGAGCCTCTCTCTCCCTCTCTCTCTCTCTCTCTCTCCTGACAGCCCGTCTGTGTCTCATGCAGCTCGCTGATCCAGTAATGAGTCACCCGACACAACAGTAAATAATAAACATGTATAACTAGTTAAGCTAGTTCCAGGGGTAGATAAGATTGGTAAATGTGACAGGTCTAACTTTTAACATTTTAAATATTTCAAGTCACTAGAGGGATTTCCGCCGCAGGTTTATATTTCCGTAACATTTGCGCGACTTGTCCACATGCAGCTGTCACAGGGGTTGAGCTGCAGACTGAGACAGAGACATGGCTGAGACATCAACAGCTATCACTTTCGAGGGGTTGAGGAGGTATGCCCATTATTTTAAATGTGTCAGAAGGACAGGAATGTGACGGTAAGGTGCACTGCTGCAAACATAACAACATCAAACCTCTCCAAGCACCTGCAGAGGCAACATGCTAACACGAAGCTAGTAGCTAAAGACCCCCGAACCCAGAGTGATGATGTTGAGTGAGTGCCGTCTCCGAACAAGCAGCAACAACTAGAATTTTCACCGTTATTAACTTGTGTTATGTCTTCCTTATTGCAATAGTAATTGTTATATGTGCACATGTAGGCCTACGTTTTAAGTTTTGGCTATACTGTAGGCTGTTGCTGAGTAAGGCAAAAGTAATGTAAAGAAACGAGTAAAGTAACGAGTTACTTTATGTAGAGAGTAACGAAGTAAAGTAATATATTACTTTTTTTGAGAAACGACCCCATCTCTGATTGTGGATAATTAATATAAATAATTCTAACCTCTGTACCAGGGTTAATTACCGTTTTTTAGCTGGTAAAATGTATTAAAAACCGGTAAATTCAAAACCTGCCGGTCAAAATGTCCGGTAATAATTGGGGATGTTCCGATCGATCGGCCGATATTCACTCTTAATAGTTTGATCGGTGCTCTCTATAAAGGCAGATCAGGGGCCTCATTTATAAAGGGATATACGCTCAAAAAATGGCGTACGCCAGTTTCTACGCAATGTTTGCGATTTATAAAATACTAACTTGACGGGAAAATGTGCGGTCCTCCACGCAAACTCTAACCCATGCGTACGCACTAAGCACACAAACGGGAGAGACGAAAAACTGCGACACCGTTGGCAGAAGGAAGAATGGAGAGAAATATGTGGAAATAATACCATCAATTAAACGTTACCTCTCATTTATCAAATATGAAGAATTCATTTTCAAACATTGATTAAAGCCAATCTTAAAATGATTAAACAAACGCCTGTTTGAGACTCCTCAGTGCACACAAACACATAACTTGGAGAAATAAATAAATACGGATATGTTATTTAAAACCACCTCGAATATGTTGTGTTAATGTTTTGAAATGTTTTCTCATAAATGATGCGGTAAGCAGGAGGACAGAATTACGTCTAAACTGACGCCGTTTTGCATTTCTATAGGTTGTAGATACGAGCATGGTTTTATATACTATCACGTTTAATCGTGTTTTATGCCGTTTGCCAAGACTTGATAAGTTGCTCATAAAACACAGGAGGTATGGAAACTAAAACAACATATATTTGGTAGATTTGGCAGCGGATATAACTCAACACATTAGTTTTATTTCCTTTAACTGGTGGATAGAGTTGCGGGGGGTTGAGACGCATCGACAGCTGAACACAAACCACCAAATAAAAAATAAACATGAATTGACTCCACTCCGCAGGGATCCCCCGATACTTTCTTACAGTTGCTCATCATGGGGGGGTCTCCTGTCCCCGGCACAAACACACTGACACACACTGTCTGAGGAAGGCTATGTGTATTTTGTCATTAACTTTTTTCGGACCACGTATTTATTTATTTTGGTGACGATCCGACCTCCATGCTGCTCAGGCCCGGTTCTACGGGGGTGCATAAGGGTGCATTTCACCCTCAGTTGAGTCGTTATGCACCCTCATTTGAAAAAATAAATAAATAATTTAAAGTGAAAAATATTACATATATAATAACAAGTAACGTTATTATGTCAGGTGCGCGTGACCTGTGCCGCTGCGCGTTCGTCATCTGCAAGGTGCTTACACAGCAGTCAATGATGGACATCAGAAAATGGTTAAAACAACCAGCCCTTATCGCCAGCAGTAACACTGCATCTACTGCAGGTATACAGTTCAGATCATGGGGACATTACGTTACCCGCGGCCACTGTCGTGGACACTAACGTCCTCCCGCCCGACTCGCCGGCTTTGCCCGCCTCATCCTCGTTGCCCCAAACACCGCCACCCCTCGGCGGCCCGCAAGTGCCAGAGGACCTCGGCAAAACAGAGCCTGCCCAGGTATATTTAAAAAAGTACCCAACTCGCCTGTACAGTGGGGTAAGGCGCTCATTTTGCAGCTCATGGTTTCAAAACAGAGATTGGCTGGAATATTCATGTAAAAAAGATGCCATCTTCTGCTATGCCTGGAGACATTTCGGTCTTAAAAGGGGAGTGATTTGTAAAATATCCATAAAGAAAAAGTAAATCTGTTTACAGTTCTGTTTCATATGGGTGTTGAGATGTATCCATAGATCTCTTAATGTTGCTCTCAAAGTGCACCAGATTGATGCTTTTAACTTCAATATTTAAAAAATCTTCCCGGGGGAGCATGCCCCCGGACCCCCCTAGAGGGTGTTAGGTCCACTCCCCACTTATAAAAATAGCACTTTACCACTGCAAGGCAAGGCAAGGCAAGTTTATTTATATAGCACTTTTCAACACAAGGCAATTCAAAGTGCTTTACAAAAAATGAAAGACATTAAGAAAATGGCATTTAAAAACAGTCATTAAAAAGAAAAGATAATAAAATAAACATTAAAAGAAAAAATACATGGATAAAAGTTACAGTGCAGTTTAAGATGTGAATAGTTCAATTAAAAGCAGCGACAAAAAGAAAAGTCTTCAGCCTGGATTTAAAAGTAGTCAGAGTTGCAGTGGACCTGCAGGTTTCTGGGAGTTTGTTCCAGATATTCAGAGCATAATAACTGAATGCTGCTTCTCCATGTTTAGTTCTGACTCTGGGGACAGAAAGCTGACCAGTCCCTGAAGACCTGAGAGATCTGGATGGTTCATAATTTAGCAGTAGGTCAGACATGTATTTTGGGCCTAAACCATTCAAAGCTTTATAAACCAGCAGCAATATTTTGAAATCTATTCTTTGACACACAGGAAGCCAGTGTAAAGACTTCAGAACAGGAGTGATGTGATCCACTTTCTTAGTGTTAGTGAGGACTCGAGCAGCAGCGTTCTGAATCAGCTGAAGCTTTCTAATAGATTTTTTAGTGAGACCTGTGAAGACACCATTGCAGTAGTCGAGTCTACTGAAGATAAAAGCATGGACAAGTTTTTCCAAATCCTGCTGTGACATTAGTGCACCCTCTCTAATCTCAGATGCACCCTGAGTCATTTTGTTCTAGAACCGGGCCTGATGCTGCTACTCTGGTTCAAACTGCATCCACCAAACAATGTGATTTGTCTCCACCTTCCCAAAAGAACCAAAATCTGACACGGTGTGAAATGTATTTTTTAGCTGTTCTGTCGTAATTTCCTGCGATCTTCTTCATGCAGTCAGTCAGAATGAATATTAATACGGGGCGTTTCTTTGACTATTTATAGGCAAATATGGGCGTTACGTGAAGCCCGCAAAAGCTGCGCCGCATTTCGAGTTGATTGTGATTTATAAAGGGAAACCGGCATAGGACGTGCCGTACGCAAGTCCTACACTGGTACGCAGTGTTTTAGCATGATCACCTGAATCCCCGCCCACTATTTAGCGAGCTGCATGAGATACAGACGGGCTGTCAGGAGAGAGGGAGAGAGGGAGAGAGGGGGAGGGAGAGAGGAAAGAGAGGATCAATTTCTCCCGTGTTATTATCCAAAGTTAATGTAAACTTTTTAATAATGTACTTCATCTACTATAAGTAGTTTGTTTGAATGTAATAATTATGTTGTTTGTTGTTTGTGGAATCCTTTATTGAAAAATGAATCTGAAGTTTTCGATCTGTTACGATTATAAACTGATGCAATATAAAAATGACTCCCATTAACTGAGTTTTAAACATCAGCATATCCGGTCATAGTCCGGTAATTACCTGCTAACGGAAACTCTGCTACACAATTCGAATTATTATTATTATTGAAACATGACCGGTAAGTTTCAAATTTGTCCGGTAAAATAAATGATTTCCGGACATTTGACTGGCAAGAACAAATCCTAGCGGAAACCCTGCTCTGTACTTTAATAACATTTCTGTGAATCTGCTGTTTATTGTGATATATGACACAACATACATTTACGTCATTTAAAAAGAACAACCAATGCTTCCTCAAGTATTCATGAAATATGTTGTGAATGTTCTGATTTATTTTAGTGTCAGAAGATTTGCAACCTTTGAAGCGGCGGAGCAGCAGCTATGAATTACTGCCACCTAACGGAGTACAAATTATTTAATGTAAATTAACATCTCAAATCACAGTTTTTTAGATCGTGGGTACACCATCATTTTTTTCTCCATTTCATGTATGCAAGCTCTTTGGTGATTTAGCTAGTTTTGAGATAACAGCTGACACATTTACTCAAGTCCACCTTTTAAAATATATTACCCTTTCATTGGTTGATTATCTAATTCAGTTTTTTGTTGAAGAGTAGTTTTTCTAATTCTGTGTTTTCTTTTTCAGTTTCTGAGCTTAGGGTAGTTCTGCTGGGGAACAGCTGGGCTGAGAGGAGTTCAGTGGGGAACTTCATACTGGGAGAGACTGTGTTCAACACTGAGAAAGAACCAGACCGGTGTCTGAGAGTCAGTGGACAGTTAAAAGGAAAAGAAATAGTTCTTATCAACACCCCAGATCTGCTGCTTCCCAACATCCCCCAATGGAAACTTTCACAACATGTAAAAACCTGTGTGAGTCTCTCTGATCCTGGACCTCATGTGTTCCTGCTGGTTCTACAGCCTGAGCACTTCACTGAGAAACACAAACTGAGACTCTGCAGTTTCCTACAACTCTTTGGTGATCAATCATTCGATCATTCACTGGTATTAATATCACCACCTAAAAAGGGGAGTTCAGGTTTCATTGAAAAGGTTATGCAACATCCACCATTAAAAGACCTGATCAGAATGTGTAGAAACAGATATGCGAGTCAGAACCTTGACCATTCAGAGCTGTTAACACATTTGGGTCAAACTGCAAAGGAGAACAATGGAGAGCCTGTGAGCTGTGATGTGTTTGAGGATGCAGGTTTGATCATGGCACCAAAGTCTGAACACATCAAACCAGCTTTAAACCTGGTTCTGTGTGGGACGAAAGGAGCAGGTAAGACTTCAGCAGCCGAGGCCATTTTAGGTCAGAGAGAGCTTCCTTCAGTCTCCAACTCCTCAGAGTGTGTTAAACATCAGGGAGAGGTGTGTGGACTAAGGGTTTCCCTGGTGGAGCTCCTTGCTTTGTGTGGAAAACCTCAGGAGAAAGTGATGGAGGAATCATCCAGGTGTGTCTCCCTCTGTGAACCTGAAGGCGTCCATGCCTTCATCCTGATCCTACCTATGGGTCTCCTCACTGATGAAGACAAGGGAGAGTTAGAGACCCTCCAGAACACATTCAGCTCTCGAGTCATCGACTTCACCTTGATTCTGTCCACTGTGGAGTCAGATCCTACAGCTCCAGCTGTTGTTAACTTACTAAAGGAGAACAAGGACCTCCAGGAGCTCCGTCAGAGATGTGGAGGAAGACATGTTGTTCTCAACATCAAGAACCAGCAGCAGATCCCAGAGCTGTTGGATGCTGTGCTAGAGATGAGAGGTACAGGATCTAGGTGCTTTACAAAGGACATGTTCACCAAGGCTCAGATGGAGAAGGTTGTAGAGCTGGATAACACTATCAGAAGACTTAAAGCTGAACTGCAGGATGTTAAAAAGAAAACTCAGGAGGGAGATGTTGATGAAAGTCAGAACAGAGAGTGTCTCAGGATGGTGCTGTTTGGGAAGACTGGCAGTGGGAAGAGTGCAACTGGAAACACCATTTTGGGCAAAGAATATTTTGAATCAACTGTCAGCTCAAAGTCAGTGACCAGGCTTTGCAAGAAAGCAACAGGAGAGATTGATGGACGTCCTGTCGCTGTGGTGGACACCCCCGGTCTGTTTGACACAACACTGTCCAATGATGATGTTCAACAGGAGCTTGTGAAATGCATCAGCTTGTCGTCTCCTGGACCTCATGTGTTCTTACTGGTGCTGCAGATCGGCCGGTTTACCAAGGAGGAAAAAGACACTGTGGAACTGATCAAAACATTTTTTGGCAAGAGATCTGGAGATTTCATCATCATTTTATTTACCATGGGAGATAATCTGGAGGGTCATCAAACAATAGAGAGTTACATACAATCTAATGACCGCTTGGAAAAACTGATCAATGACTGTGGAGGGAGATACCATGTCTTCAATAACAGAGAAAAGACCGACAAGTTCCGGCAAGTCAGAGAGCTGATGGAGAAGACCAACAAAATGCTGAAGGAAAATGGTGGCAGCTGCTTCACCTCAGAGATGTTTCAAGAGGCCGAGGCGGCCATACAGAAGGAAACGGAGAAGATCCTGAAGGAGAAGGAAGAAGAAATGAAGAGAGAGAAGGAGGAGACACAACGAAAACACGAGGAGGAAATGGAAGCAGTGAAGATGAGAATGAAACAAGAGAGAGACGAAAGTGAGAAGAGGAGAGCCAGACAGCTTCAAGAAATGGAGGAAAATATCAACAAGGAACGAGAGGAGAGAAGGAGAGATGAGGAGAAGAGAATGAAAGAGGAGATGGAGAAGAAAAGGCAGGAAGAAATTCAACTAATTGAATGGGAGAAAAAACTTGTGTGTAAGATGATGGAGCAGAGTAATGAAGAGATAAAAAAGCAAAAGGAAGAATGGGAGAAGAAGAGTGAAGCAGCTCGGATCAGACAACAAGAAGAAAATGAAAAGATACGACAAGAGGAGCAAACAAGACTTCAAAGGATGCAAGAAGAGTACGAGCAGGAGAAACTAAGAAGAGAAAAAGAGAGAGATAAAAGTGAGAAGGAGAGAGCCAGACAGCTTCAAGAAATGGAGGAAAATATCAAGAAGGAGCGAGAGGAGAGAAGGAGAGATGAGGAGAAGAGAGTGAAAGAGGAGAATGAGAAGAAAAGGCTGGAAGAAATTCAACGAAAGGAATGGGAGGAAGAAATGTTGGAGCAGAAAAACAGAGAGATACAAAAGCAAAAGGAAGAATGGGAGAAGGAGAGAGAAGCAGAGCGGATCAGACAAGAAGAAGAAAATGAAAAGATACGACTAGAGGAGCAAACAAGACTTCAAAAGATGCAAGAAGAGTACGAGCAGGAGAAACTAAGAAAAGAAGAAGAGAGAGATAAAAGTGAGAAGGAGAGAGCCAGACAGCTTCAAGAAATGGATGAGAATATCACCAAGGAACGAGAGGAGAGAAGGAGAGATGAGGAGAAGAGAGTGGAAGAGGAGAAGGAGAAGAGAAGACAGGAAGAAATTCAACTAATTGAGTGGGAGAAAAAACTTGTGTGTGGAGTGATGGAGCAGAGTAAAGAAGAGATAAAAAAGCAAAAAGAAGAATGGGAGAAGGAGAGAGAAGCAGCTCGGATCAGACAAGAAGAAGAAAATGAAAAGATACGACTAGAGGAGAAAACAAGACTTCAAAAGTTGCAAGAAGAGTACGAGCAGGAGAAACTAAGAAGAGAAAAAGAGAGAGATAAAAGTGAGAAGAGGAGAGCCAAACAGCTTCAAGAAATGGAGGAAAATATCACTAAGGAACGAGAGGAGAGGAAAAGAGATGAGGAGAAGAGAAGGAAAGAGGAGAAGGAGAAGAAAAGGCAAGAGAAAATTCAACGAGAGGAGTGGGAGAAAAAAGTGTTGGAGCAGAAAAACAGAGAGATGAAAAAGCAAAAGGAAGAATGGAAGAAGGAGAGAGAAGCAGAGCGGATCAGACAACAAGAAGAAAATGAAAAGAGACGACAAGAGGAGCAAACAACACTTCAAAGGATGCAAAAAGAGTACGAGCAGGAGAAACTAAGAAGAGAAAAAGAGAGAGATAAAAGTGAGAAGGAGAAAGCCAGAAAGCTTAAAGAAATGGAGGAAAATATCAACAAGGAGCGAGAGGAGAGAAGGAGAGATGAGGAGAAGAGAAGGAAAGAGGAGAAGGAGAAGAAAAGGCAAGAAGAAATTCAACGAAAGAAATGGGAGAAAAAAATGTTGGAGCAGAAAAACAGAGAGATGGAAAATCTAAAAGAAGAATGGAAGAAGGAGAGAGAAGCAGAGCGGATCAGACAAGAAGAAGAAAATGAAAAGAGACGACAAGAGCAGAAAACAAGACTTAAAAGGATGCAAAAAGAGTACGAGCAGGAGAAACGAAGAAACGAAGAAGATAGAGAGAGAAGAGAACAGGAGGAGGAGGAGAAGACAAAAGTAATGGAGGAAAAACATGAAAAAGAACTGGAAGACATGAAGCTGAAATATGAAGAGGAGGCCAGAAAACTAGCTGAAGAATCCGGCAACTTTGGAAAAATAATCGAGTACTTAAAACCCATTGTAAATGCTGCTGTGGTTGTTGTCACGAATGTTGTCACGCAAAGCGTGAAAAAAATCGCATTTGGTGAGTAGCCTTTAACAAGTTAAACCAAAAACACAAGATGATACAACCGGTGCACCATCCTCTGATCTTCTTGCTGACTCATGATCATCATCACGTCAGCAGATAGAGCATCATGTCCTCTTCATTGAACAGCAGATTTCTGGAGGATAATTCTCAAACAGGGTCCAATCTAAGCCACTCAGAAAGAACTAGCACCCATTGAGACATTTCCATTCTGTGAGTATGTTTTTAGTACCAGCTGTAGTACAATGTCTAACTTTTCAATTGTTAATCGTTTAACCAACCCTCAAGGTGCAGATCAACTTTGTCTGTTTTATGGATTTAGGGTTATAATAATAAGTAGACTTGAGTCAAAGTCCCTCGAGGAATATGAGTATTAATGTGACTGGGTGGAGGGGCCTCATTTATGCTGACATAATCTTCGTGTCTCAACCAAGTTTCAGTTTATTTGTTAATCTGTTGTAATATTCTGGTGGTGTAGGGGAGCAGGGAAGCATAAAGGGGAGCTCACCAGGACAGGGGGGATTGTATGAAATTGTTTTTATCTGTTTTTATATAATCAGAATAGACAGTATTGCAAATTACTGGTTTTGAGTTGAAAAAGTGTGTTCATGTTCATGGACTTGTGTTAATCAGTCAGTCACTGCCACTACTTAACGGCACCAAAATTGTTTTGTGTCATCCTTTGTTTTATTAATATATATCTCTCAATATGTAGAGCATGTGCTGCCACAAGAGAGCGCCCTGTCTGTGAGCAGCTTGTTCTTAAAGTGTTGGGGTTCCTGTTGAATGATCTGCAGCCTGACTGCTGTTTGTGCAGTGTGAATCCACAATAGCCGTGTTCACACCGCAGTACTTTTCCCACTTTAGTTCCGATATAGTTCCGAAATGTCGCGTTCACACCAAAAAGAGCCGTAACTAAAATTAGTTAATCAGAACCTTTTTCACCCCCTTTTCCGTCCCTGCTAGAGAGCAGGTACTTTCGTGGGAGAAAAAGGTTCCTATTTCTGATTGGCTGGGCGGATTGCAAACCACGCCCCGTAAAACTCCCAAAAAGTTTTGTGAAGCCGCCATTTTATTATCCTTACATTAGCATTATTAGCATTAGCCCAGCGCACAAACGCAGAGAGACTAACTTGGCATGGCAACACAAAAGAAAACATGGGAGTGGTGGAGATGAGGAGGTGTCGGCGTTCTGGCGATTTACTCCGGGGACTTCGGGTGGCAGTATACGCCGTGAGGTTGTTTGCGGCCTGCCAGTAAACCCAAAGCCGAAGAAGAAGAAGTGACGTCAACGGCTTCATTTGGCTAATCCTCTCCCAGGAACGCGATCTGTACTAAGTTCATGAGAACTAAAGAGTTCTCATGAACTAAGTTCTCATGAACCTTTGTGGGAAAAGTACTGCGGTGTGAATGCGCCTTATGATTCCCATTTCTGTTATAATCATTCATTTGTTTTAGTATCATGTGAAGTCAATTGTTGGTTCAATAAATACATCATTTAAATGTCATTGTGTTCATGTTACCTCATTGCACACAAATGTGTTTTTATATTGTTTTGAAAGAGTAGAGTTTTCCCAGTTGTCCTGGAGATGTAATGTTGTGAATGCATAGAACATATAATATACTTTGGTAAAGTTTCGAATACAAACCTTGAATTGTAAACGTTTTTCTACCCTTCTACAACATTTGAAAATGTAATACGTCAGTGGGGACATCACTACTGTAAAGAGAGAATGCACCCCTCTGTGGTGGTGAGAGAAACTGCAGGCTGCAAGCATTTCTAATTATCATCCAAATCTCTTAACTCAGTGATTCACAACTTCTAGATCAGGGGTCGGCAACCCCTGGCACGCGTGCCACCAATGGCACGTGGCACCGTAACCAGTGGCACACTAGGAATAAGTGGAATAAGTGTACAAAATATTTATTTTATTTTCGGATCCTGAACGAGACCGCCGCCAGAGCGCGTCTCCCCGTTACCTGCACGCAACGCAGCCCCGCTCTCTTTAACTCCAGGTGACTTTCTGCCGCTTTCCTCCGTAATGCAGTGCTGATAGTTTCACCACAAAGGAAAGCACTTCACAAATTGTATTACTCATAAGGAGCTGTAAAAATGCCGCAGTTTTTGCGTGGCGATCGATATCGGCCGATACTCACTCTCTGCCGATCGATCGGTGCTCTCTAAAAAGGCAGATCGCGAGACGTAACATACATGACACTTTTCTCTGTGTGCGGCAAAACAAGCTCGCCAAAATCGCTTCACCAGTCTGGCAGTATTTTAAGGTGTCCGAAAAAGACAATAAAATAGCGGTTTGCAACGTGAAGCAGAAATCCTGCAGCTCCACCCGCTGTGACGGACCGGTGAGCGGAGCAGAACACACAAGAGTTAGACCTAACACACTTAGCTATTTTATCTACCTTTGGAACTAGTTATAAATATATTTATTCTTCACTGTCACTCATTACTGGATCAGTGAGCTGCATGAGATACTGACAGGCTGTCAGGAGAGAGAGAGAGGGGGAGAAAGGAAAAGAGAGCGCTTCCGCTCATTTCTCCCGTGTTATTATCCAAAGTGAATGTAAACTTGAATAATGTACTTCATTTGAATGTAACAGTTATGTTGGTTGTGGTTTGTGGAAGCGCCAGTGAATGAGCCCCATTAACTGAGTTTTAAACATCACTTTTCACGAGTGTTTTCATCGAGCTCTTCAACCCCCCCCCCCCCCCCCCCCCCGTTGATAATTCACGATCGTCGGCACGCTGATAAAAAAATAATTTAAAATGGCACTTCATATCAAAAAGGTTGCCGACCCCTGTTCTAGATTAACCATTTTTAACCCGTGTGCATCACTGAGGAAATGTTTGGCCTCACACTTTCTTGTTTCTATTTTTTGGAAGTCAAAATCTTGACTTTTTACTTTTTTTTCAGAAGTTTGAAAAAAGGCTACATTTTGAGTATTTTTTACCAAAGGTGACTATTTGCTTGTTCTGAGAAAAAAGTCACAATTTTGACGTTTTTCATTAATCTGGAAAAAGTATTTTTCCGTAAAGTATTAGGTTAGTTTTTTTAGGAGAATATTTGTATCCTCTAAAGACATCAGAGCAAGGTTTAGGTTTCCCAAACAAAGTAATATTCTTACCTGTTGAGGTCTGCCGTCCTCCGTCCCGATCATGTTCCTCCACTCCATCAGGGAGCGCTGCAGGTTGTCCACCGTGACCACGCCCCCTGACCCCAGATCAGAGAGCAGCACGTCAGACTCCGACACCTTGGACAGCCAGCCGGTGTACGGAGACACTGTCACTGACCTGAGGAGCACAAAGAGGAAGGTGAGTCAACACACTGTCACAAAAAAGGGCATCAAGACCAGGGTTGGAGTTATGTGGGACCCAATGGGAGCTTCCCCAAAAGGAGGGGTCTGAGCTCCTATAAAAGCAGTGAAATCATACATCTGTGGGGGTCGCTAATACATTACCAACAACCATTATTTTAATCACAAATAATGCCTTTTTCAATGTAATGAGTATTATTTACGTTAACGAGGTAAACAGGCTAAAAGAAAAACATGTTTTCCAAAAGAACTACGCATCGTATTCTCTCTTGAATGACAATATGCCTGCACTTCACCTCCAAGGTGTATAAATATCACCCGTTATTTACGTTATTACCCGGCTGTTATTGATATATATATCTATATAACGTTAGTTTTAAAGACCCCCTTAAAGCTCAGATTATAACTCGAACCCTGATCAAGACTGTCCCTAATTGTGACATTTAATCTTTTCTCTAATGTGAACTTTGACTATTTTTTAAAGATGTTCTCTCTGGGATTTTCCTGGTCTTAAAATGATTAGAATCAGAATCAGAAAACCTTTATTATTTCCACAGCGGGGATAATGTTGTGTTGTTTCCCCAAATTGACGCAAATTGGTCAGAAATGTTATGAATTCCGGTGAATATTTTCATTTAGATGAGCAGGTAAAAATCGGATATGCAATATGAAATAAGGCTAAAATCTTAATAAACAAGTGACTTACAGAGAACATCCCAAAACACGTTGTCTCTTGACAAGATCAATAATGTGATTTGACGCTACTATCTATCCTTTTAATTTGAGATTTTTGTCTTGTAAATTTACAATTTATGTAAACAAATATTAAAGAGGTAGTAAAACAAGTAATACAAAGGGCATCAAGACTGTCCCTAGATTTAAACTTTTCTCTAATGTGAACTTTTATTGCTTTTATACAATATATGTATACAAAAAATATATGTTCTGCCTGAGCTTTTCTTAGTTTAACATTTTAAAATCAAAGAAAAAAGTATTTTTTCCCCCCAAATTGCTGTAAATTGGTCAAAATTGCGGTGAATATTTTGATTAAGATGAAAAGGTAAAAATCTGATATCCAATAGTAAATAAGGCAAAAATGTGACTTACACAGAACATCCCAAACACGTCTGTTGACAAGAACAATTATGTGATTTGCTATTATTTTTTAAAGATGTTCTGCCTTGGTTTAAAATGATCAAAGAAAAAAGTTATGTTTTTTCCCCCAAAATTGACGTAAATTGGTCAAAAATGTTATGAATTGAGGTGAATATTTTGATATATATATATATATATATTTTAAAAGTCAGATATCCAATATGAAAAATAAAGCAAAGATCTATTTAACTAAGTGACTTACACAGAACATCCAAAACACATTGTCTCTTGTCAAAAAAATAAAATGTTTTTGGACAATTTGACTGTTCTCTCAGATACTTTCTGATTACTTCTTGCAAATGCTTGACGCTAATATCTCAGAAAAAATATAGTTTTTTATTTCCTTTTAATTTTGAGATTTTTCTCTTGTAAATGTACAATTTTAACATCAGAGAATCTAAATATTTATTTATTTAATATTTGCATATATCTTTGCGTTATTGGATTTCTGATACAAGGAAAAGCTGTATTGTACTTTTTTGTAGTAACAAATATTACACAAACATATGTTTAAAATAGTAATTTTGCAACTTTAAAAGCATCATGAGACAATATATCTCTATGCAATGCTTTCTCCGCCCCCACTAGCTGGTGCTAGATGATGCAAAATGATGTTCTTGTTAATATAAAGTATTATAAAATGAAAATGAAATGAAAATAAAAAGTCAAGTAAAACACAGTAGGAAACAGGTGGATGTGTTTACCTCGGGACGGGAATATATTTGACTTTTTTGGAGTTCAGATCAGTCACCTCCAGGTACGCCGCTGTCATCGGGGGAGTGACATCTGAGGGACGAAATCAACTAAGGATGTTCTCTTTAGTTGTATGGCTTGCGAACTAATGTTTAATTACTTTATTAACTACAACAAAGTCTCTTTGAGAGGAAAATAATCATTTAAAGATCTTAATGACCCCATGGTATTGTCTTTTTTATTGTTTAATTACTTTATTAACTATAAGGAAGATTTACTGGTGTGCTTCCCTAGATGATGTAAATAGTCTAAGTGTCATGTTAGGGGGACATTACGGAACTCAGGAGTCCGCCCTTGGAGGCTTGGAGAGCGGATAAAGAGAGGTGTATTTACCGGTGTTGAGCCCTGGATGATGTAAATAGTCCAAGAGCCATGGTTGCGGAACTCAGGAGTCCGCCCTTTGAGGCGTCGTTAACATTAATGCTTTTTGCTTTTGTTTTTGTTACTAAGATACTTTTTAGATACACTTTTGAAGTGAGCAATACTTTACAACTGGTAGAAAGTTAAGTACTTTGTATGGAATTGGGTTTTCTTTTAGAGCTGTTTTCAGTGAGACAATGCAGTTTCTGATCATTTTAAGTTTTCAAGTTGCAAGGCTTTATGGCATATGCCCATTAGCTACAGTGTAGATATGTCAATGAAAAACATAGGTCACAGGCTCCTCCAACAGTGCAACAAATATATATATATATATATA